AAGACTTTGAAGCCTTCAGACTTATCACAGTACTGTAGCCGTTGGATTAATTTGTTCACTGATGATTTAAATTCCACAGCAATCCTAGAATAATCAACGTGTAGTACAGTTATGGCTAGAGATATTTCCAATTTACAGTACTTTACTATGTACATCCACGAACAGAGCAGTCTAGCCGTTGGAATAATTTGTTCAATGATGATTTAATCTCTATAGCAAGACTCAAGACTTGCAGAGTTCAATATTTTGAGTCGTATTCGTAGTGATTGGAACTGTTCGTGATATGTATAGAGAAATTGGAAGTGGTTGCATTGCTATCGCTAATCGCGAGTAATAAGCGACGCCGAGGCCTCTAAATAGAGCGTGTCAGCGGTGGATGGCGAGCACGCAGTTCCCGGAAACTGGGTGCCCTACGTAAATACAGGGTCTCCGCGTTCGTTCCCCGTTCTATCCGCTTTTTATTCGTGTTTAATTAAAAAGTAGTCGTGGATCGAGCGACCCGCGTATATACCTGATTAACGTCCATCGTGCGCTGGCGAATTTAAAGATTAATGGCCGCGACGAACGCCGGTGACAGGAAAGAGCTTAATGCGTGCACACACGGCCGGAGGAAAAAGGGAAGAATGATGTCGATCTACCGACGAACTAACGACGATTATCCGGTGTACCGTAATCAAGCCTCGATAGAAAAATGCCACCTTATTCCTGCTCGTTTTAACGAAACCGACCGGCGATGAGACTACGTATTTAGCTTCATTTGCGTAATTACCCTCTACGAGTATATGTATTTACATGTACTTACGGCTCATTAATCAGTGTTCATTGCGGGGCAACGTTGTGAGTAAATTGTGATTAAGATTGAAATATAATCTCGTTGCTTCCGATACTATTACGAATGACCCGGCTAATTTTCGCGTGTCGAATATCACGAAGAATAGTATTTTATAGTTGTTGTCATTCGTGGGTTTTTCCATTTTTGACCGTGATAATGGCTGACGAATTTATTCAGCTGAATTTGATATACGTATATTATTGAGAAACGAGAGCTTGAGGTAATGTAAGCAGGGATTGAAACGAGTTATGGAATTTTTTGGTGTGTCGAATGTCACGAAAAATAGTATTTTATAGTTGTTGCTATGCCTGGGTTTTTCAATTTTTTACGGTGATAATGGCTGTCGAATTTATTGAGTTAAATTTTATATACGTATATAATTGCGAAATGAGGGTTTGACGTAACGTAAGCAGGGATTGAAATGAAATTGAATTATGAAATTTATGGGACGAAGGTATTTGTACCATGAAAATTTTTCTGGTGCAAATGTGGAGATATTTATCAAATATTTAGGCATAGGAAAATATTTTCTTATTCAGGATTTTGTATAATAGCAGTTTGAAAAAATATATTGAGAGAGTATAGTGTCAGGCTTGTTATCAAAAATGTATGTAAAATCGTGTGAGGATTCCTTTATTGCAAATAAAATTTTGAAACTATGTATTTTGACTACTTTGGCATTTCTAGAGTTAATTAAATATTCTCTGCCTTTCATGTAGTCAATCATTTTTCCTATTTTCCATAAACTATGTGACCATAGTTTTCAGTTATTTTAGTGTTTGAGAGAGTATAGTGTCAAGCTTGTTATCTAAAATGTATATAAAATCGTGTGAGGATTCCTTTATTGCAAATAAAATGTTAAACTATGTATTTTGACTACTTTGGCATTTCTAGAGTTAATTACTATGTTGCTATTTTCTGACTTTCATATAGTCGATCATTTTCTCCATTTTCTAAAAAGTTTGTGAACATAGTTTTCAGTCTTTTCAGTGTTTGAATACTATATCATTCTTAGTTATTCTAGAATCGGAATGATAATCAGAATATAGTAAATTTTTATATTTGTACACAAAGAATATAATAGTGATTTATTACAAGAAAGAATTTTTAAAAAAATAGGAACCTTTGAATACTTTCGATAAGTAATTGTATATTGTCATTAGTAGTCGTAGAATAAAATTAGATTGGATGACAATGGTCGCATAATATAAATTTTACATTCGTTTTGGAATATTATAATACTGATTTATTTAAAAAAATAATATTTTCTACAAATGTTTCTTTACATTTGCCACAATATTCATAAATAGAACAGTGAAAGAGAAATATTACTAACTGTTTAATACATTAATAATAGAACATATCATTACCAATTAAGCAAAAGAATTTAACAAAATAATATTAGAAAATTAAAGAATTCCCAAACTTAACAAAATAAGATGATAAGTCGAAAAAATCTGTAATGTCTCTTATAATAATTTCAAACTAGTTACAATATTTATACCATTATAAATAGTTGCAGCAAATATAGCAGTTAACCAAAAAGAATTAGTGGACTTAACTTAAAAGGTCCCCAAATTCAACAAATTAAAATTAGGGATTTGAAGTCTTCGAACTTTATTATAATGATTGCAGAATAGATATAATAGCTATACTATAACATAAATAGTTATTACAGCTATAATAATTGACCAAAAAAGAATAATTCAGCTCAAAACACTTCCAAACATTATTATAACGACTGCATAAATTATTATATACTAGTACACAAATTATTAGTATCACAACTAAAAATTACTCTACAGACGTTAGTGAAGAATTATCCTGAATGATCGAGGCGCTCGGCCAATGGGAAATTGACATGATCTAGGTAATCATGTTAATATAACAATTAGATATAACAATTAATCAAAAAGAATTAGAGGACTTAACTTAAAAAATCCCCTAATTCAACAAATTAAAATTAGGAATTTGAAAAGTCTTCGAACTTTATTATAATAATTGCAAAATAGTTATAATAATTTTACTATAACACAAATACTTATTACAGCTATAATAATTAACCAAAAAAGAATAATTCAGCTCAAAACATTTCCAAACTTTATTATAATGACTACATAAATTATCATGTTCCAGTACATAAATTATTAATATCACAACTAAAAATTACTCTACGGACGTTAATGAAGAATTATCCTAAATGATCGAGGCGCTCGGCCAATGGGAAATTGACATGATCTAGGTAATCATGTTAATTTCCCGTGCTATCGATTGGTCTCGTCGTTGTTCTCGGTTCGAAAGATTGTATGCACGACTAAATGTCGTGGCCACGAGCCGGGGGCGAGGGGTTGTTTCGAGTCCAGGGTGTTTCAGGGGTAGGTAGTTGAAAATGCATTACCGCGACTGCGGCATATGGCGCGATGCACGCATGACTCGTCAACAGGGCAGGATGATAATTATGCATCGCACGCCATACGTAATGGCACGGCTCTTACCGGCACATCAAGAAATTAATAATTAGCGTGAGGTGGAGCAGATCGAGCGTAAGAGTTACGTCACGGTGCACTTAATTAAAATAGAACGGGGTGTGAAGAACGCGCGGGGTTGAATCTCTATTACTTCGCGTACCCGCCGTTCCTTTCCAGCGATTTAAGCACGCGCCGAATTTCGCGAGATTAACGAGATTTCGCATTGAAATTCACTTGTGTAGGCTTAATGGATTAATGGATAGACCTGGACTTTGTCAGACGTTGGCGCGTTTAATCTTCTGGATGATAAGTCTCGTGAGTGAGAACGGGCTGGTGTATTTATCAAATGCAGTTCATCCTCGTTTTAATTAATTTAATCGAATTTTTTGGATTCTTCAGTTCCCGTGTTACTTTGCTTGCTAATTCAACGATGCTTTGATTAATTCCTTCGTTACGAGGGTATAGTGCCTATTACTTAGTAGCTTACTGGCAGTGTATGCGTACTCGTACAAGTATTATGGTAGTATTCGAATATTTATGTCCGCTGCTTTGAGTACATGAGTGGAATATGCGCGTTAAACTAAAATCTGTGAAATGACATCAGTAAAATTATCAGTAAAATTATAAAATTGTTTTGCAGAATATGCAATGTAATGTCTAGGTGTACCTATAGCGAATTTTTTCCTAACGTGTTGCATCGATAGGTAGAAATCTACTCGAATGCGATATATAATAACAGTAAAAAGTATAATTAATTAAAAAATAAAAAATTTTGGTAGGTTATTGATTTATTTTTTACTACTATGATATCCCTAAGGCGATTTGCCATTAAGTAACTAGCGCCACCGTGACCCGTATCTCTAATAAATGTACTTTAACCCATTAACTGCCAAATTTCTTTTTATGACATTTTTAGTCGGATAAGTTATATATATATATGCACGAAAGGTTGCGTAACAGTATAATTATATTCAAATTATGTTTTGTTTTGAAAATATTTGATATTTTTGGCAAAGTCCCAAAGTGGGTATCGTTATAAAATGATCGATAAAATCATTTCAATAAAAAACAAAAGACTGAGTGGGTAACAAATCGTTATTATAACCTCCAAATTACATATTTATGTACGTTGTTTCATTATAATATAAAAACCAAACGAAAAATATAATGCTTCAAATATGACAATTCTGTTCCGTTCAACTTACACGCGAATTTCAAATTTGTTCGCTCGTTGTATTGAAACGAAGCACAGTATACACACTTTTTGCTACGTACAATGTTGACTGATATATATAGAATGAAACTAAGCTGTCAGGTGTACCAAATATATTTTTGGCACCGAGTAGTGTAAGTAAAATTTCAAAATCACCAAATGGGGATCGTGGTAGCTAACAGGTTAAATGTCATATATACATACATTTCGCTGAATGATTTTCTAATTTTATTAATATAATTCTGACATTTTCTTCTTGCTATATTAAATATATATTATCCTTTTAAACTCCTAAGTTTAACAAACACATATATATTTTATCTGTTGAACGTAACAGACGTATGAGTGTACAGTTTCTATATATAATTCCTTTGCTATGTACCAAGAATACTATCAGTTTTGAATTATAGAAAAAGGACTAATTGACTTCAAAGATATGATAAGTAATAAGTAATGTGATAGTAACTTGTTATGTATTTGTTTGTAGGAGTCTGAGGGACAGAAAACGAACAATGGCGTCCACTATAGCCTGCATCTGCTGTACTCCAACGGTGAGTAAACCGAAGCATGTTAATTATGACTCATCGTATCAATTTATGAATACCAAATTGTGGTTCACCGTGTTTCTAAAATGTGCATATATCAAAGATATCACGGCAGGAATTAACCGGGTATATTTAAACTTCGTTAATAGAGGAACGCGAGATTTGCAAGAACGAGTCAATTATAATGCATTTTCCTAATATGTAAAAATTATACAGGAAGTACAGTAGATTATAATAAAATGCGTGGCTCACGAGCTGGGAAGATGGTCCAAAATTTTATTTAAAAAGAATAGAAACGTATTTTTTATGTCAAAACATCAGGCAAGGCCTTATTGAAACCCGTGATGAAGTATCAATAAATTGTCATTTTTAATAGATTGCTCTCATTTTTAATTATTCCTCGTACCAATTTGGTTTTAACCTGACCCAAACTTATTCTACACACTTTATTTCTGCAGTTACTTTTGACAAAATTATTTTTTTTTTGCAACATACGTTTATTAAAGCCTCTGGGTATTTACATAACAAATAACAAATACAACAAATATCCTTGAGAGTATAAATAGGAATAGTGGTTAACCTAGGTTTATAAAACTAAAGACTCTGAGACAGAGTACGCGTAGTTTACAGGTAATTTACAGGTAGTTGCACTTATTGCTATATAGGGACGTGGTAAGTAGGGAGCACTTAGTCTATGATGTGTAAAAATATAGAGAAATATAGTGAAAACTATATTTATCTGTCGCTGGGGCAAAATTAATATTACGTCGTATAGAAATACCGGTATTTATACGTATATACCTATTTATTTTCGTTACACGATTTTAACTGTTATTATCAGTGTATATTATATTCGAGTACTTCTCACAAGCCAGTAGTGTTAGTACCGAGATGCATCTGAACAGAAGGTAAACTCATCAGCTAGGTTCCCCATGATCAAACCACGAACATTGCCAGTCTACTGTCTCCCTGTAATGAATTTAAATGCATTTTGAAAATAATAAAACAATTATGTAGAATTCAAAGATGATATACAGCATATGCACACGAAAGATATATAGACTCGCCTCGGAATGCTAGAATCGATATAAAATAAAGAAAGAAGCATCGACAAGTGTATATAAACATCGTAAACACGGTTGCTGGCACATACGAAGAGCAAAGTTGGACGTGATAGAACCGGTGACCAATCGACACGCAGAAGAGCTCGCTGCGCATGTGTACCAGCTCGCAACGCGTTATGCCAATCTGTAAACGCTTAGCGCATATTGGAAGAGTGAGCGAGGCATTGGCCCGGTCGAAGCGACGATGACGGGCCATCAACATTCCGCACAGACACCCAGTCTCTCAGGGCCGCTAAAAAGCTGAGGAACTTTCGAGGCCCGAGTGCAACAGAGACATATTTTATGTCACTGGCCCAGGTTCGGCAAAAAGGGTTCAGTTTCCGTCTTGAAGAAGCGTTCGAACGTCTGTGCGTGAACGAACGAAGGAAAAGAGAAACACGGAGAAAAGGGAGCAAAAGAAGTCGATGATCTAGAGGTGGTCCAGGCAACAGGCCCTTCAAAAACTGGTGGCCGTATTATGAACATATTAAAAAGCCACAAGGCGCTATCTGCTGGCTCTCATTCCAGAGGTTTTTCATCCCGTGTACACCGGGAACAACGTCAACCTCCGCGGTGCTTTCTTTATCTTCATTTCTTGTTCATTCTCATGCCTCTTTCTCTCGCGAGCCTCCTCCCCTCGTTTCTTTTCCGTCCCCTTTCCTGCCCCTTTCCCTGCCGCCCCTTTCTCTTTTCCGCGGCTCATACCATCAGCTTTCTTGCCTCCGCCGTTGCGAGCCGATCAATCAATGCGAGATTTTTGCGTTGGCACAACTGACTGAGGGGCCGCCCTGCCATCTATGGACACTAAAACGTGTTGCCAACATTGCAAACAAGAAATAACTAACTGTTGCAACCTATGGAATACCTATGGGCACCTTAGGGATCCTAGATTCCTAGCTCCCCTACTTTTATTCTATTCCGTGCAACTTTTGTCCACGATACTCGTAATTCACTCTATAACCGGAGACGTATTTGCCTCCGTGCAATTTCCCTCTTCGTTTCTTCCACATCTCACAATTCTATCGTCATGCCACGGGACAGATTTGTGTATCGGAATGCGATTCCATGCGCAGCATCTAGTTGCGACGTAGTCCATGGTCTTGCGGTCACATTTGCATCGTTGCCTATCCTTGCTCATGCTAAGATTATCGCTATTCTGGGCAACGATAACTCTGTATCTTCGAATTTTTATTCTCTCGATAATATATTCCAATCCCCTGATGTGTCGGAAAGAAGTACACCCGTTTAAAGAATTACGTGGTCAAATTGACACGCTTACGACTCTTGTCGAACATTAGACGAGATAATCATAAGTAAAATCGCCGAAAGTTAAAATTTAATCGAATAGAAATGTAAAACTTTGTCATGGATAACAAGATACGAAATAGCGTTACGAAGATGTAAGAGTTTCGCGAACTTAACCTAAAAATTGAGTAACCGTGTAATAATTTATCATGTTTTGCTACGCGAAATTTCACGAAGCAGTGGTAGAGAGGAAATTCATTAGGCGATTCGAATGCAGATCACGATAAAACATGGTCGACCCATCCCGAGAAACGAAGGCTTCCCAATAAGCAAGTGATGCAACGAAATGTTACGATATAACGGAGCCCATACGTCTTCTATCGAAGCACCGGTTATGTCCTTTAGAGTGAATCGGCGGATCGTCGCGGCTCTGATTTATGCCTCGATCCGGAGATCGGTCTTCTGTTCGGACTCTCGAGGCGCACTCTATAAAAGTTTCATGCACGAAATACTTTACGGCGCAGCTTCTATATCACGGAGACAAATTGCCGCTAGCTGGCGCTCGCGCTCGTCATCTTCTCCCCCCACTCGGTCGGCCATCGAATCTGCGCATCGTCGCGTCACCGATCACTCGTACAGGCGCAATAAATCTATAATTAAATAATAAATGAGGAACACGGCCTAACGTTCGAGTGACGACAGCGCTTCTCCATACCGGGTTCTACTTCTTTTTATCATCGCCCCTTCCTCCGCGTCTCTTCCATTTCGCTCCGTTTCTTTCATTCCCGTTCTCCATCTCCCTTCCACTCTGCGTTCCGATGTCCTTGCGCCTCTAAGATGGAGCAAGGTACTCGCGATGTGGGCAAGGTGTCCCAGGTCGGACGAGGATGCACGTATAAAGGCAGATGTCATTCAGAGAAAGAGAGACGTAGAAATAGAGTGAGCTGAGTGGTTGGGCCGCGGAATATAACGGCTCGTAATAAGAGCGCCGCTGATTAAGGATGCCGATCGGAGGAATAAAATGGGTGGTGTCCGCTTCTTCCATCACTTCTTGTACGCGTTGAAGTTGGTTGCCTAGTTATGCTAATACGAACGGATCTATCTGCCTCCTCTCAGCAGGACTTGGCACGCGATACAGCTTCTTACGTACCTTCTTCACCATCTTTTGCCTTTATTGTCGTGGTTCGTGGCATGATCACGAGTCGCCGCAGTGTCTGTGATAAATGTATACGTACGTTCACGTGGCATGTCACAGCCTCGCGCTGGTAATCGTGCCCCCTTAAGATGCATCGGCGTACTTGCATAAATGAATTCGCTCGTTCGACCACTGATTTTATACCGTCTTGTTTACATACCAAGCTTCGAGAATGGAGACAATCTTCGTTATCCGATGAACACGCGCGCGTTTTGTAGGACGCCGCGTTCCTCGCTCTGCCAGCCTTCCAGACCGGACAAAAGTTTCGTGCGTCTTGTACCAGATTTCGGAGAACACGGTTCAACCATAAGTACGAGTTCCACTGGTAGGAAGCAGCCTCGAAATTTGGAGATCGTACATTGCTACACCTTTTTCAAGTTTCCACTTCACGGGAATTATTCACGGTTTGGACTTTGGAAATTGTTTTGCCTCGTTTAAGTCTTTGTTGACACAGGATTTCGGATAATAAAATAGGTCCATGTTGTGTAGACGTTTTATTGCCTTTTAACCCTTTGCACTCGAGAGGCGACTCTCAGTCACCATTTAATCGAATTCTAGAGATCATTATTGATTAATATCTCGAATTGAAAATTGTCCAACGACGCGTAAAATAATTCTATGTCTTACGATTAATTTGCACTTCTTAGTTACGGTTTTGAAAATATCGTCGACTTTATGGCAGGAAGGCTTGGAATTACTATGTTTCTGTAACGAAAAGATCGCCGAGTGCAAAGGGTTATCTCTTTGTGGCACAGGATTTCAGATAATAAAATAGACCCACGTTGCATAGAAATTTGATTGCGTTTTAAATGAAGCAAAATTAGTATAGAGCTAATTTTTATAAAAATTATCTTACATTTACGATTTTTCACATAAAACCTGCCTTAGCATCGTCTTTGTTAGGAGGCCTAACTAATTCCTCGTATCTTCCACTTAACATAAAACCTGCCTTAGCATCGTCTTTGTTAGGAAGCCTAACTAATTCCTCGTATCTTCCACTTACTATACTTTAACTCTATGCGGCACAGAATTTCAGATAATAAAATAGATCCATGTTGCATAGAAATTTGATTGCGTCTTAAATGAAACAAAATTGGTATACTTTTACAAATAAAGGAATCGCGTGATGTAAAAATATAAAACCAGGAAAAAAGGATTGTCGCGATAAACCTTGAGCTTGCAAGAATTGATGAACCTGTACTGATATTTTGAATGCTGAAAACACGAGCGAATACATTTATAATGTTTGTCGAAGGTATTACCAACTGCTTAACGTAAATAAGACGAAATATAAACCTATGCGCGTGTAGCTATTGAAATATTCTGAGACGGGACTAATAATGTCCCAAAATGCATTACGGTGCACCAAAATGGTGGGACGCTATTAATCCCAGCGTGCCCTAAAGAGTTAATACAAGAAATTTTGTAGACTAGAAGATTAATTTTGGAAATGTGGATGTTAT